AGTTGGCAGGTATATTAAATGTGTATTAGTGCCTACCTTTGTGGGTGATTGGTAGAAAATTACTACGTTACCCTTAATGAATGTATAATTTTGGCTTTTTTTTAACCCATTAAATCATCCGATCTAATGGCTACGATTTATTCTTATTTCTTTTACTGAGCATCATTCTCACTTAAACCTAACATATAGGATTATGAATGACCATAAGAGTGTGTGTGTGTGTGTGTGTGTGTACACACTCACACACACTTATGGTCATTCATAAAATCACACACACACACACACACACTTATGGTCATTCATAATCCTATGTGTTGAATTCTGATGCTTCGTAATTCTATAAGTCAAATTTTTATGCTTCCGGGTAGTAATGTCAATATTGATTCCATTCATATCGATTAGAACTTTTAAAATTGTAAAATACTTGACTAACTTAAATTATAATATATTTTAAAATTTATAACTTTTGTTGTTGTTATCAGTTTCTAATATATAAAATATATCAAATAACTATCTCTTGACAAACTTCGATTTGATATTCATATTGCATCTATAAAATAAGTAGATAATTCGGTTTATTTATTATAAAATTACATCATCTATTAATACAAATTAAAAATTATTAAAACTATATATCAATTAAAATATTATATTTAAATTCACTATATATGAATCAAAAAAAATATTATAATATAAAACGGACAAAACATACAAATGAAAAGTCTCATTTTAAATAAAAACAATAATGCATTTAAAAAATTATTTAAAATTCAAATAAAAAACTTCTCTTTTGCTTTTTTATTTACTAAATTTAAGTATAATTTTTTTGATAGACACCCATATTCACGGGTATTATTAGTCATGACCTTGAGTCTACCCTGCTCGGCCCTAAATTGGCGGACCTTGAACCGAGCCAGTGGTTTGACAAGGCGGATTCCAAGCCACGAATTTGTAATTATTGACCAGCCAAGCCATTTCTGACCCGGAACTTGTCTGACAGTTTAGCCTTTTTTAATTTTTAAAATTTTGTAATGTTTTTTAATAGAACCGGGTCGGGTCGGAATCGACGGTTCACTAAATCGGCCCGTGCCCCTATATATAATTTCCGAATGCGCTGAGCCTACGTGGCTGCTTCTGGTGCTTCGAAATCCTATTTGGCGAAGAATCATGTTTTGTAATTAGGTTTGGACAAATAATATTGATATATTAATAATTAATAATCTAGGTTCGGACATTCCATAAATATTATTTAACTAACTTAGGTATTTTAATATCACTTGTACTAATATAACCCTTTATTTCTTTATAATTAATTCCCGAATGCGCTGAGCCAACGTGGCTGTTTCTGGTGCTTCGGAATCCTACTTGGCGAAGAATCATGCTTCGAATTAGGTTTGAACAAATAATATTGATATATTAATAATTAATAATCTAGGTTCGGACATTCCATAAATATTATTTAACCAACTTAGGTATTTTAATATCACTTGTACTAATATAACCTTTTATTTCTTTATAATTTTACATAGTGAAACACTAAGTGACTAATATATCCCTTACTTTTGATTTGTTTCCTTAAAATAGCTATTGAATTATAAATTAAAAAGTTGATAACTTTTGTATTTCTTATCGAAATTTTACATATATAATATATCAAATTAATCATATTTTCATGATCTTCGATTTGACATCCATATTGTATATATGAAATAAATAAATTATATTCATCTTTATAATAATAAAAAACAATAATATTTTTAAAATTTATTAAAAAATAAAATTATTTCTCAGTTGATATATTTATGTTTAATGTATTCATATGTTGTAAGTTAAAAAAATTATTATAATATAACACAGATAAGTCGCACAAATAAAAAATGGCATACTAAATATATAATAATATATATATATACTTTTATAAAAAGTATTTAAAGTTTCACCTGCTTTTTCTTATTAATTTTAGATTTTAAGGAAAAAATTAGCAAACACTCATGTAATACACATGCGTTGTACTGTATCCAATATTACAAAAAATCTCAATCAGGTAAGAAAAAAGACACGCGAAAACATGGAGAACCAGAAATTAAAAATTGTGTAATAATATCACTCACTTAAAGTACTCACCACGATAGTAGCATCAACCATTATCTTCATAATCAAAATACAACTTGATCTATATCAATATAACACGATGTCACGATGATGATGGAAAAAGGTAAACTCAGACACAGATTTCACACGAGTACTTGTTGAATGCAATAAGTTATTGCAGAAAGTCCATGCCCGTTGATCAAAAGCATTAGCTTACACCAAATATCTCCACCGAGCAGGACGGTCTCTAGATATAATAAGAACCCTTGAGGCCGAATAATCAAAAGACGGGCAATACATGTCGTCTGGCCCAATAACTTCCCTCACATTACAAACACCACCATTGTCCGGTTCATAGGGTAGCAATAATCTATCATCCTTCAAGGAGTCAAAAACAAACAAGCCGAGTCCACAAATTCCCATGACAAAGCTCGAGTCTCCCCAAACTTGCGTCAGTTTTGCGGATTGGCACTGTGCATTGTTTGATTCCGGTAATTCATAGGTGCTAAAAAGCTGCTGCTTCCGCAGGGAGAACTGTTGGATTTGTGAAGAGCAGTGATTTTTGCCCACCGACTTCAAAGTGGAGCATCCAGTATAGATGTGGTCCCCACAAGAAAAAGCTGAATACATGTTTGTTCCAATCTTGATGGGTATCTTGAGGCCTATGCCGGACGGGTTTCTGAAGTCCAGCACGTTGATTGAGTCGGGAGTGCCAAACACACCATCATTTCCTTCTGCATCAAGTGAATTAATTCTGCAGAACAAAAATGTCACACATAAGTATAAGTGTCAAAAGAGTGATAAATGAAATATAAAAAATGGGTCATTACAATGTTCATTCCAGAAACAGTAAATAGATGGTAGAAAGCCGAACATCTTTCAACAATGTAAATACATCTGATACAATGTTTCGGTTTTACAGAATGAACCTTTGGACTGATGCAACAGTTAAGCAAGTGTAAACCACAATGGCAAGTATCACACATTGAAAGAGCATTAGCAACAGCAGTTATAAAATATGACTAGATATTTATTTAGTTTGGCTGAATCACAACGGTAATTTGTTCTGTCTAAAATTAATATCATATACAAGTTATCAACTAATAAAACCAAGTGGTGTAGTTACTAAAAGTACCTCTGAAGTTTGACCTAGTAATCAAAAAATCCCAACTAACATACAAAATTACTAAAGGCACCCATGAGGTCTTAATTTATCTTTCTTTTAACCCCCTTCATAAGCAGGAAACATTCAAATCCCCTATCACAATGATAAGAACATTATAGTTGGCCCCTATAATTTGAATACTAATGATACTTTTGTGAGCATCCCCAAAACTAATTAAACATCTTTCACCAGGAACAGTAACACAAAGTCAAATGAAAATGATGAATGCAGTTGAAAATTTAATCAAAATGATCTAAAGAACAAGAATTTAAACCTCATGCTGACATAACCATGTAACTAAAAATACATGTCTTCATGCACCCCACTCAAATCCATATTGATTCACTTTTGTTACCTTTGTCGAACTCCTCCGCTTAATTCGGCATCTGTATTATTTACATGGAGAGCCGAAATCTTACGGCCACATGAGGATACAGACATCAAAGCATGAGAACTAAGAGAATTCACATCCCACAGAGAAATTCCATCTGACTCTGCAATCACCACTTTCCCTCTATTCCTCCAGTGCAAAGGACTTGAGCTATCCATGGCCAAAACCGGTTTCTGCAACTCCCATTTCATTACTTGCTCACCATCTCGAATGTCATATATGTGAACCGTCCTCTGACAACTAGCTGTTGATGTAATTAGTGGCCCACAAGGCTTATACCACCACTGCAGGTTTTCATTAGCCATAAAAGTCGAGAGACCCTTTTTCCTGTACATGGTGTTGTTTGGTAAAGGAGCAAGGGCCGTTCTTGCAGATGTGGTCTTTTCATTCTCAGTGTGGAAAGCTGTTATGCCTTTTGTGTAAAAATCCCACGAGCAGAAGCCTGAGCCCACAGAGCTTCCAGCTGATGCTGCCACAACGTATCTGCTAGAGCATCCATCGGCACTAGGGGCACGGATCATCCAACAGTCTTGCCACGTGTTTGGTAAGATTCCTAAAGGTGGCTTGTATTCGGCTTTTCTCTGAAATGAATCAAATTGTTATCATAGCTTAAAGAACAATTTGCTAAAACTGTTGCAGAAGGATTAGTACATAATGGGTCCATTTCATGATACAGCAAAATAATCAAGCCTGGACTTAAATAGAATACTGAAACTAACTTTAAATTTAGAAGTACTAGGTTTCACAAATCCAAAGTAATGGATTCACATGCACCATACACTAAGTAATTCATGTTTTGTATGACCACTTCGAGATTTTTACACTTCACGATAACCTAAGCATTAGCATTTTGCATCTAATTGAAGGAAAGAAAAATTGGATGCTACAAAGCTATATTAAAAAGTGAAGTCGTGGGAAAATATCAAACCTCGCAATTAGCAGTATCGTAGAAAGAACACGAGCCATCATCATGTGCAAGAAGCACGGACTCTCCTTCAGACACAAGCCATCCCCCAATCGAGGTTTTGCATCCAATGTCATTCAACTTGTATGTATTATTTTCTCCCAGTCCCTCATCGAACCCCATGGCTGGCTCTAGCTCTTGATCATCGAATTCATCGAGCTTTTCTTCTGCCATCAGCAAAGCATCTAAATTTACGTTTCTGCTCAATGCATTTAGAGAAGAACTCTCGCCAACACATGTCTTACTTTCATCCGTTTCTTGAGTCTTGCTTTCATCTCTATATTCTTCCTTACACAAAGAAGCCAGAAATTCTGAAGTAATATCATTTTCATCTAAAGAAGTTACTTTAACCGTGTTTACATTACAGGAGTCGATGGATGCATCAGTCTCAGAATCTCTTGATGTTGTCCTGGATAAGGCCCTGTCTCTCAACAACTTATGATGAGGAAAGAGGCGTGCTTCAATTTCTTCAGCACTCAAACCCTTAACCAAACTTTTAGAATCTACAATTATCTTTTCATTGCCTTTTTCCTTAATTTCTTTACTTCTCACTAACCCCATCTCGACATCTCCGTCTCTACCAACATGAACCATCGCATTCTCGATCCCAGTAATTTTCGCCTGAATATCAGACAATATCATCTTGGAGGCGTCCACATTATTCAGATCCAAAAGCTCTTTGGTCCTGTTTATGTCAGATGCTATCCTCTTCACTTTGTCTTCCAAGAACGCAAGTTTCTCCTGAAGCTTACTGGGATTTTTGTGTTGGACGTTTTCTTTTGGTACAGTAGGAAACTTACTTACTCCCCTAACCATAGTGGATTCTACTGAATTGGGCCCAGAAAGAGCTTCACCAGAGCAAAATTTCATCTTAACGTCCCCAGAGAAATTACTGCTCTTAAGTTCAAATTCTAAAGTAGACTTTGCATCACTGTTCTCAAGATTTGAGCTCTTCATCAAAGAGGAGTTCAAATAGTGCTCCATATTTTCACTACTCCCATTTGAAACCCTATTATGAATTTTATCCTTTTCTTTCACATTTCCCGCATTTCTCTTGATATCTTCCGTTGCCAATTTCTCAAAGTCTGCTCTTTCTGGCGGAACAGAGGCCAAATTTTTTCCCACCATTTTATCACTGATCCTATTGCTCACAGCCTTAACCTTAACTTCTACTTTTTCATGAAAACCTCCCTCCAGTTCACCTAAATTTTTCCCATTCTTCACCAAACCTTTAAAAACTCTTTCCTCGAGATCAAACTTTTGAATCAACCCGTTCAAACTAACATCTTTTTCTTTTCTTTGAGGTGGGTCCATAGAAACCCTAGAAGAGTTTTTTCTCAAATCGGACAAAACCCTAGTAAACTCAGCGGGACTGGAGCTCCTACCTCTCGGCACGGAGGAAATAGACCACTTGGAACGAGGCTCCTCCACCGCGAACTTGTCTGTCCGTGCCATGGGCCGTATATCGGGCCTTTGGGCTGCAGATCGGACACGGGATGTGGACCGCGGATTCTCCTTCCCCATCGAAATTGATTTTCCTGCAACCGGGGAGATTTTTCTTGAGGGAGGTGCGGCTATTTTGGTGCCTCCGCCGCCTCGTTCTTTCAGCCGGCGAGCAGATGGCGTCGACATTTGTGTTATGACGTATGGAGGCAGGTGCTATGGTCTGTGTTTTTTTTTTTTTTTTTT